TGATGCTGAGATCACGTATGAAGTCTGTGCCAATGCAGCTGAGGTTGACAATGATGTTGAGTTTGATGCTGAAGTTGATCCAGATATGGCTGAGGTTGATGTTGAAACTGAGGCTGAAACTGGCTACGAGAGGACCCCTGTGGACCTGGAATTCTCCCGCCTGCGCTTCCGGGAATTTGCCTACCAGGAAGCAGCAGGGCCGCACCAGACTCTGGCCCGGCTCCATGAGCTGTGCCGGCAGTGGCTGCGGCCTGAGTCTTGCTCCAAGGAGGAAATTCTGGAGATGCTGGTGCTGGAACAGTTCCTGGGCATCCTGCCTGACAGGGTCCGCCCCTGGGTGGTGGCCCAGTATCCTGAGAACTGCAAGAAGGCTGCCTCCTTGGTAGAGGGTCTTTCTGATGTCCTGGATGAGCCAGGTGAGGCTGCTGCCCCAAAAGGGCTTGCCCAAGAGGAAACAGGAGGGCCTGGAAGAATTAGGATCCACAGTGCTGGGTGTTATGAGCCTTTAGTTTTTTCATGTGTAGGAAGTGCAGAGGGGAGCAGATCAATCCCTAAGCAAGCTGCTCAGTGGCCTCTGGATTGCCTCTTGGTCCAGAACAACTGCTTGGGCTCTTGCCCTTGCATCTGTTTCCCAGATATTTGGAAGGAGAAGAAATGGCAGTCAAAGGCAGAGACCAGTCTCTTAAAAACTGGGTAAACATGAGTGCCTTGCTGGCTGGAGGTTTCCTTTGTGGGTGAGGCCTGAGGGATGGGTAGTAATGAGGCCTAGGAACCCAGCGCCTCCTGCATCATTGTTCCTTTGGTTGTGAACAGATATGCTGCTGTGCTCCCCCGGGGGGTCATCATCTGAGCTCAGCGAGGGAACATATGAGCGACCCTCGGATCCGCTGCTGCCAGGTGGGCTGGGTGCTTGTGGGCCCAGCACTGTTATGCCGTGGGTGGTTCCTTGGGGTGGGGGCGGGAGTGGGTGCTACAGGCGGCCTATCCCTGCAGGTTCTCGTGGTCTCAGATGGGCTGATGTTCAGTGAGGCTCCTACAAGGGTGCTTGGCCATGCGTGCTTTCCACAGGGATATAGAGAGGGCAGCAGTAGCCTTCCCATTCGTTGTGCCCTCTGGATAGCAAGCTGTGAGTCTGCCCTGTGTGTGTGTGCAGAGGGCTGGGGCACCGTGTGCTGTGCCCAGTGCTTGCTGTGCAGGGGCAGCTTCTGGGTGGCAGCGGACGTTTGGGTACCTGAGCCCCTGGCTCCCTACCTCTCCGTGCCCCATTGGCCTTCAGCTTCACCAGGCAGACCCCCTCGGTCTCTGCTGCTGCCTTGATCTCAGGACCTCCAGGTTCTGGGGCTCTGATGGAGGGCAGCTGTGGTGGGGCTTGCTGTAGAGGAGACAGGAGGCCCTCCTTCAGCAAGCTGCCCTGTGTGCTGCATGCGATGCTCTTTGTGCTGAGGGTGGGTCTCTTGAGCCACTGACCTTTACACATAGTAGATACTTGGGTGGTTTCCCCAGTGTTGTGTCTACAGTGCTGGCAAAGGTTTCCCACCTGTCCAAAGCTATACTACCGCTTCACCAGCCCAGTGGGTAAAAGGAGTGCCCTTTTCCTGGCTGGCATTTCTGGGTCCCCTGTGGATCTTAAACTTCCTTGTTCTTTTTTTGTGGCCAACCTGAAAATTGTGGCCAGGCACAGGGTCTAGGACCTGCAGTGATACGGCCATCCTGGGTCTGTGTGGGGAGGGTGGGGTCTGCTCCTATCCTGAGATTCTAAGTCACAAGACCTTGTTTCCTCAGCGCTGCCTTCCCTCCTCCCAGCCTGGCCTGCCCTGGAGTCCATGCTTCTGGAACAGGGGAGTGTTGGGGGAGAAAAGTCCAGGGAGGCTGGCCCTGCCAAAGCTGAGCTGGAGGTGGGTGGGGGCCGCTGTGGGCCCCGGGCCCTGGTACTGCCCCTCCCAGGGGTCCTGCTTGGGAATTCTGAGGGAAACTTGTCGGAGGGTGATGGCTTATGCCACTGGAGTCAGAGATCTGGGTGGCTGAGGGGCTGTGTGTCTTTTAGAAAGGGTGCAGGCCTTAGTTGTGGCTGCCTTGCTATTCCAGAAGCCAAAGCCGTCTTCAGAGGAGCCCCTGCCGTCAGGGGAGTGGGACCATCTGGACCCTGCAGAAGAGAACCTGCAGAGCTACAGAAAGCTGCTTCTCTGGGGTGAGGCCCCCTGGCTGTGCTGGAGCCCTAGTCCCAGGGCTAGGGGAACACAAGGGGTGTCACTCTTGTATTTGAATTTGAATGTGTTGTGTCCTTTATCAAAGTTCCCACTCACCCGCACAGTCTGGCCTTTGATCCACCTGGGCTTGTCCCAGGGATGGCCTTTCATCCTGTCAGCCTGGTAGAAGTTATTACCCTCCTTGCTGGGGAGGCTGCCAGCCTGAGCCCTTTATAGTTGTCATTATATGGTTCGGTTGACACTGAGAATAGAGCGCAGGGCCCCACACTCACCGAGCTATCACTGTGCTGCTGAGTGAGTTGAACCTCTCCCCAATTCTACGCTCTGGTCTGTGACTTGTGGCCCCTGGCTCCCTACCTCTCCGTGCCCCATTGGCCTTCAGCTTCACCCAGGCAGACCCCCCTTGGTCTCTGCTGCTGCCTTGATCTCAGGACCTCGGGTTCTGGGGCTCTGATGGAGGGCAGCTGTGGCGGGGCTTGCTGTAGAGGAGAGAGGAGACGGTCAGCTGCTTCCTCCAGCTTTTGTGGTGCTCTTAACCCACTCAGGATATCAGCTGTCTCAGACTGATGCTGTCCTCAGGCTGGAGACTGAGGAGGCTGGATTGGAGGACCTGGACCTGCCAGGAGACAGCGGCCCAGGTGAGGTCAGGGTGGGTGGCTGGCAGGAAGGGTTGGGCCTCCCTGGGTCTCTCATTGTCATCTCACCCTCTGCATTAGAGCAGGAAGCGGCAGTATTGTTATTTCATGATCTCTTGCTGCATAACCAACCATCTTGAAACAGCCCCCCAGTGGAAGAGCAGAGCAAGTATCTGGGTTGACTGGGCTCATCTGTGCAGCTGTTCTGCTTTATGCTGGCCTGGAGGGCACCGTGGTCTTCTTGCGTCTGACCAGTGCTGGTAGGGCCAGACGCCTTTGGTCACGCACTGCTCTTTCCTGCAGCTCAGATGAAAGTCTTTGGGGCTGCCCTGGCTTCCCTAGGCATGGGGGATGGCAGCAGAGCTTCAGGAGAGAGGCATGCACCAGCCTTTTTGCGCCTGTGTGCACGCTAATGTCTGTTTCCAGCCGGCCACATGGTAGGGGGCATGGGTGTAATGAGCTGGTTCATCTTACGGCTCTCTTGGCTCTTCCTGCTCACAGGTGGGTTCCTTGTCTCCTGGCTGTGGCCACATCATTTCCTGGTTCAGGAATGCTGTTCAGGGCTCATCTCACTGGCAGGAAGCACAAGGCTGCCCACTCTTTACTCTTGTGCTGATGGCTACATGTGGCCATGTAGTCACAGGCTGCATGGCAGGCTGGGGTGAGACTCAGTGACATGTAGGGGGTGTTGATGGGGCAGGGGGCCACCATCCAAATAGCTGGGCTGTGACACCCACTGGGCTGCAGTGTGGTCTTGCTGGCATTGGGAAGAGGGTTAATGGTCTGCTCTGAGTTGCTCTTCTTCCTGCTCAGGGTTTGGCCTCGCTCTTCCCTGTTCTGTGCTGGAAGCAGCTTTTTCCCCTTGGTCCCTGAGAACCGTGGCTGCTCACATTCTGACCATTGCAGGTGACAGCAAAGCAGGTGCCTGTGAGGGTGTCTCTGGGGAAGAGGCACAGACAGACAGGATTGCTGAGGATGCACCCAGAAGCCCTTCAGAGGGCATGGCTCAGGAGCAAGATGGGCAGCCCAAGAAGGTTCTGGAAGATCGGGGAGAGGTGCTATCTAGGCCGGAAACCGCACCCTCACTGGAGGTGCAGGACAAGGACGCAGTAGGGCCGGCTGGCCTGCAGCCAGGCATTGGCACAAAGCGGCCTCATCCAGAGGATGAGGCTGAGGCAGAGGCCGAGGATGAGGAGGGACCTGGGTGTGCCACCAGTGATGTGGGGAAAGAGCTAGCTGCAGAGGGCTTGGGGCCCCCAGTCGAGCAGGCCCCAGGCCCCTCCTCAGGAGCCAGCCCTCCCATGGCTGAGGCTGGAGCCAGGCTTGGGCAACCATATCCCTGCAGTGAGTGTGGGGAAGCATTTGCGTGGATCGCTCACCTTGCTGAACACCTCAGCAGCCACAGCGCCCACAGCAGCAAGAAGCACCGCGCCTGCCCAGACTGCTAGGAGCCTGTGCCCTGGCCTCCGAGCACTGGGGCCTAAGGAGAAGAAAGAAGCCTGGAGCCCACATGGGCAGGACTACAGCTCCGAGTATGTGGAAGGTGCTGTGAGCATCCCTGAGGTGTCAGTTTAGCCTGGCTGGGAATCTAGAATGCCCTTGGGTGGTTTCCTATGATGTCTTCTGATGTCAGTGTCCTAAGGTTGCCTTGAGCACTAAAGTGCTTGCGCCTTCCACAGCCACTTCCGCACCACCCCACAGGTGGGGTCACTCGACGTTGTGCAGCGTGTACAGTTGCCTTACAGTATGTGATTGTTGGGCCTTCCTAGTCATCTTTTTTTTGACTGCTGCGCTTCTTGGAGCTAAGTTTGTTCAAGCAGAATTCTTGACATGTGTTTTGGCCTTTTTGTAAATACATGTCAGTTTCATTTCTGAATCCTCAAAAATGGACACTTAACTCGTTTAGCTCATGTGTCTTTACCTATGTGGAGTGGCTGACAAAGATCCCCAAATTGCTTGGGGCCTAGTAAGTTTTCAAACTACAGGTTCCAGCCCATTAGTGAATTGTGAGATCAAACCAGTGGATGGCCACTGGTGTTACAAAGCAACAAAGTAGAGTAGAATAGGTCAGAATGCATTGTGTAGTGAAGGCAAATACTGTTTTGTGAAACTTTTCAACTGTGTATCTAAATGTGAAAACTGGCTGCCATGTAAAATGTTTCTCATTAGGGGACTGAGATTAAAATGGGTTGAAGATACTAATAAAGGTTGATGAAGCCATCTGTCTGCCTGAGCAATGGGAACCAAACTCTTAGGTTTCCATAAGGTGATCTTTTGATTTTTACATTGAGTCTCAGCTTACAGTGTTGTTTCTGTTGTCTGAGCATTAATTTAGTTGCTCCTTGTAGATACAGAAGTGGGTGCTTCTTTCTGTAACTGTCTGAGCGGGCATTCTGTGTAACCTCCAGATCAGAGACTTAATAAAGTATTTCTTCACTTGCATTTCAGTCTCTTTCGTGGCTGCTGTGTGAGTGGGAGGGGTGCTCTGCTCTCTGCAGTGACCCAGGATACTTCTCATCCGTTTTGGAGTTCTGCTTTCCACAGTGCCTGGAAGCACGGGGAGGTCTCCATTCATTTTTCATCAGCAGTGTCCCTCGAGAGAAAGGATCCGGTGGCCTGTGCAGGGCTGGGTGTGGTCGGCCTCGTAGCTGTCTCCACCAGTTTTTGCATTAAGTTTAGCCCTGAGCACAAGCAGAGTGCGGTTCAGGTAAGAAAACCTAAGTGTGCCTCTCAACCCAAATTCCCAGTGACAGGTCAGTCTGCCTTCTCCCACTGCCACTGATTTCCTTGTGGTGCTGCCGACACTTGGGGCCATAAATGAATGCTTGTTGTTATTGTGAAACCCAACACTCCACTCTAGTTTTTGTCTCATTTAGCACACTGGTAGATGTTCGCCTTTTTTTTTGTTTATATAAGCTTTTTTTTTTTTTTTTTTTTTGAATTACTAGTGATTGAACTCGAAACCTTCACACTGAGCTACTAGCCCTTTTTTATTTTGAGACAGGGTCTCAACAAGTCACTAAGTTACCACAACAGGCTCAAACGTGTGCTTCTGCTGCGTCAGCCCCCCAGAGTACTGGTGTGTGCCACTCTAGCTAGCTTTGTTTATACTACTTATAAAACTTTATTAGAAATAGGTTCAAACTTACAGAAAAGGGGCAAAATAAAAATAGTAAAATAAAAATAGTACACGAACAATGTGCACACTGCTAACCTGACATGACAAGGCCATGGTTTGCCTGTGTGTACCCCACTGGCTACCATTTGAGACTGCAGCATCCAGATTCCTCCTATTAAAATGTGTCATTTGCTTATCTTGTTATTGTTCCAGTTCTCCACCAGTTGTGCTCTATACAATCTGTGGGAAGATACTTTAAACTCATGCAAGTATAGCTCTCATCAAAATTCTGCCTCTATGGATAATTCTGTCCTGAATTGGTGTTTAGCATGGTGGTTACAGAGTAGTTATTTTTTCAACTACAGCCCTCCCTGTCACATTCTGCTATGAGCCAGTATGCACCTTTGCTATCTTAATGAATCGAAAGGACTCACATGTTTCTGAAATGTTACATACTCCTACATGGCACTAGGAGCAGAAGCTACTGTGCCATTTGCAGAATCTGGTCTCCCGGCACATCTACCCAAAGATGGAGAAAGGGGGGAGAATTTATGTAACAAAAGAAAGGAGCTCAAGCTGCTCAAAGACCAGACCTACCACATCACCCTGTCCCATTTGCCCTGGCTGGCTGTGTGTGTTGGGTGAGCTACAACAATGTGCTACAAGGGGAAAGTGCATGCTAGGTTTTAAAGGTGCAGTGCACACAAAGAATACAGTTCGCTGAGTTAATTTTTTTCTGCTGACATTTAAAAACAGTAGCATGTGTATAGTAGGGGTAAATTTTAAACTTTACCTGCTCACAGTTTCAGATGGGACTAGCCCAGTATTAAGTCACCATGTACCTTGCATTGGTTCTCATGGATAGTGCTGCCACGCACCATTTACCCTGGCCCTCTTAAAGTAACAGACCAACTCCAGAAAAGCATTGCAGAAGCTTACCAAGACACTGTACTGGAAGACTATTTGCAGTGTGGTCCCAAGAGAGAAATTGTGAGTCAACTAGAAATTCATAGTATGCCGCCATTATGATTAGGAAAAGAAGACTTGACTTAAGGCACAACTGATGGTTGAAGACAAAAGCAGCCAACAGTGAGGGCAGCAAACCACTATAGGGGCTGTTGTCAAGGAGGCTGCTACTTAGAGACTCAGGGTTCAGTGAAGTACTGTGGACCTGCAAGTTAGATATAAAAACAAAGCTTACGCGGGGATGAAGAACCAGTGAAAACTCGGGGTAGGAGAGGATTAACTTGGAGTTTCCAAGAGTGAAATCTTGTAAAATACAAGGTTCTCCTCATGAGATAATAGCTTAACTAGTTTCCCTTTTCATACAGAAGTGCCTCCATCTAATGCCTGTGTGTTCTATGAAGATTATAGAACAATGTGGCAAAGCCACCACAGAATCTGTGAGATGCCACGGAAGTCATTTTATGTTTGTAGTCTTCCCGTGGGAAGTTTTCAACACCACTGTACATAGAATTTTTGACTTATTGCAAAATGATCGAGACAAATTTACATTCTACATACATGTTGGTACTGTGTCACATGAAGTTCAGATCTATGGGACTGGCTGCCACACCCGATGAGATAGTTCACACACGAACCAGTTTTGTGCTGAGATAAGTCATGCATCCATGGTGAGTTCATGGAGATGCACTCATTTCTGGAACACTGCCATACTGTTAGATAGTGAACTTGACCCATGTTTAAGCACCTCTGAGTCTGGAGAAGACAATATGCACTACCAGAGAATTTTGACATCACTTTTTAATGGTGAAAGGCATTTGGTATATTCTCACTGCTTTATAAACACCTCTGGTTTAGAATATGGTAAAGGCTGGACAGAAGCCATCACCAGTTCGCATCTACAGTTTCCCATTCCCAGGTTCTACAGTGTAACATTAATGGGCACTCAAGGTTGAAGTTCTTTAGTGTTATCTCGCTTGCCTGTTCAGCATGGATTCTGAGGGTCTGACAAGTGTGCATGTGTGTGAGAGAAGGCTACTACAATGAACTATGGCTTATAGCGTCCCCTTTTCTCTAGCACAGGTGAGTGTGTCTACCCAGTGTGAGTCCTCTGGTGCTTGGTGAGGGATGAGCTGTGGCCGAAGGCCTTGCCACAGTCTCTGCATTTGTATGGCTTCTCCCCAGTGTGGATCCTCCGGTGCTGGGTGAGGTGGGTGCTCTGCCGGAAGGCCTTGCCACAGTCCTGGCACTCATAAGGCTTCTCACCTGTGTGTGTGCGCTTGTGCTGGCTCAATGAGGAGCTGTGGCTGAAGGATTTCCCACATTCGTGGCACCTATAGGGCTTCTCCTTGGTGTGTATCCTCTGGTGCTCTATGAGGAGGGAGCTTTGGCTGAAGGCCCTGTCACACTCGGTGCACTGGTAGGGCTTCTCCCCAGTGTGTGTCCTCTGGTGCTGGACGAGAGGTGCCAGCTGGCTGAAGGCCTTGCCACACTCGTGGCATGCATAGGGCTTCTCACCTGTGTGGATGCGCTGGTGCTTGGTGAGAGACGAACTGTGGCTGAAGGCCTTGCCACACTCGACACACATGTACGGCTTCTCCCCGGTGTGTGTTCTTTGGTGCTGGGTGAGGTGGGTGCTCTGCCGGAAGGCCTTGCCACAGTCCTGGCACTCGTAGGGTTTCTCGCCCGTGTGTGTGCGCTCGTGCTGGCTCAGTGAAGAGCTGTGGCTGAAGGTCTTTCCACATTCATGACACCCATAGGGTTTCTCCCCCGTGTGGATCCTCTGGTGCTCAGTCAGCAGCGTGCTCTGGCTGAAGGCCCTGCCGCACTCACTGCACTCGTAGGGCTTCTCCCCAGTGTGTGTCCTCTGGTGCTGGACGAATGGTGTGATCTGGGTGAAGGCCTTGCCACACTCGCGGCATGCATAGGGCTTCTCGCCTGTGTGGATGCGCTGGTGCTTGGTGAGGGACGAGCTGTGGCTGAAGGCCTTGTCACAGTCCCCACAGTGGTAGGGTCGCTCACCGGTGTGTGTGCGCAGGTGCTGGGTAAGGTGGATGCTCTGCCGGAAGGCCTTGCCACAGTCCTGGCACATGTAAGGCTTCTCCCCCGTATGAGTACGCTCATGCTGGCTGAAGGAGGACCTGAAGCTGAAGGCCTTGCCACACTCGCCGCACGCATAAGGCTTCTCACCTGTGTGTGTCCTCTGGTGCTGGACCAGGGGTGCAATCTGGTTGAAGGTCCTTCCACACTGAGTACACCTGTAGGGCTTCTCCCCAGTGTGGATCCTCTGGTGCTTGTTAAGTGCTGAGCTGTTTCGGAAGCCTTTTGCACACATGGGACACTCATAAGGTCTCTCTCCTGTGTGTGTTCGGTGGTGTTCAATGAGTGCTGAGCTGTGGCTGAAGGCCTTTCCACAATCCTGGCATTTATAGAATTTCTCTTTTGTGTAAGTTTTCTGCTGAGCACTGACCTTGGAGTCCAGCTTATCCCTTTTCCCATATGTGCCCCACACATGTGGGCTGCGCCTCTCAGGAGTCATTGGTTGAGCTGGGAGGTTGGGGCTCAGACTGAGGTTATCCCCAAGTCCATTCCCCTGCTACGCCTGTGTGAGCATCTCTGCTGGCACAAAGGTTACCTGAATGCGTGGGCTCGCAAGGCATCCAGGCCACCATACGCAGGGGCCCTCTGTGTCCTTGACCCTGGGCCACAGGCCATCCCACAGAAATCCTTCCACCAGAACAGCACTGTGGGGCAGTTCTTTGGAGATGCCTTGTTTTAGGGCTGACAGTTTGGTGTCTTGCCTTGTTTCCAAGCCTGAAAGAAACAGGTCAGGGTAGTGTGGGTAGCTGAATAGTGGCTCCCAAGGGTGTCCATATTGTGACCCCAGAGTATATATGCTGTTACTATACATGGCAAGAAGAAGTTATGGAGGCTAGTTATCTGACATGATGATAGACTGTTCTGGATCACCCAGTTGGCCAGGTCACCAGGGGCCTTAGATGTGGACAGAAAGGAAGAAGGTCAGTGAGGGCAATGCCAAAAGCCAAGGAATACGCGCAGCCTCTTAAAGCTGGAAAATGCAGAACACTGGATTCTTCTGTGCAGCCTCCTGAAGGAAACCTGTCCTTTGGACACTGTGATCACAGCAAAGAAGACTCCGAAGTACACAAAGTACTGTGGTAATGTTACAGCAGCAACAGGAAGCTAACATAGTGGGTGAGAGTTGATTGTTACTATGGCGGGGACTCTGCTGTGGCCCTCTCCCACACTGGTCATCTTTTCTGGATCTGGTGATGGGCCACTGAACATGGGGAATGGTCTGCTGTCTGTCAGGACCTGGGATGCCTAAGTAACACATTTCTGTTGCTTATAAATTAACCAGCCTAAGGTCCTCTGTTACAACAGCCTGAACAGACTACAACAGAGGTATATAGAGAGAAGGCAAAGAATGGGGTGGGGGGTTCTGGAAAATCCTCTGGTCTATTTGGGGCTTTTGGGGCCAGGGAGATGGCTCAGTGGAATAAGTGCTTCCCTGGCAAGCAAAAGGGCCTGAGTTCAATCCCCAGTAAAAGAGCTACTATTTGGGGCTTCTACAAATGGGGCTTGGTATGTCTCCCTCACCAAGTGCTCCTCTACTTCTGGGTTTGATACCTGGTAATATGGATTGTATCTAATGTTTCCTCACTACAGTATTCTCCTGAAGCCTAAGACAAATATTTGATGTTACAGTCCTACTCCTATGTTTAACCAGGTGAATTTGAACCCATGCTGTGAGAAGACCACCAGGGACATGGTGTGAAGGTCTTCAGCACCCCATTACGGTAGAGTCCTCTGGGCAGACTCCAGCTGTCCCTTCTCCTGAGCAAGTCGTAGCCACACCCTAAAAGGCTGTCATTTGTTCCTGAAATAGGGAGTGGTCCTCAGCTCAGCACACTGGGGTGCCGTGGCGCCTGGGACCTTCTGGAACATACGTGGGAGAGGAGCTTAGGAGGCGATAGGGTTTATTCTGTCTTTCAGTAGTTCTGCTTTCTAGACCAACAGTTTAGAGAAGTCCCTTTAAATAAGAAATGGTGCTGGGGGCATCAGTGACAGCACAGAGCATCATGTGCTTGCCAGGTTCACCAGGAACTACGCCTCCCAGGAGGCATCCTTGTGGTGGGTGGCTGTATCTCGGCAGCCAGGAGAGGAACACCTGCAGAACTGCCCAGCCAGACCCCTGTCTGCCCCTGCAGCCAAAACTACACCTGCACATTGTTACTGGAAATGTTGGGGACCAGAAGTATTTCTGATTTCAGAGCCTGGAATATTTACAGGTTAGGCATCCTGATCAGAAAATGTAACATGCTCCAAAATCTAAAACTTTCTGACTTTGGATTTTCAGATTACTCATGTTCAACCTGTACCTACATAATTAATGAAGCCCTTTGGGGAAAAATGAGAAATTAAAAAAGTCTCTCTAAATAAGATGGAAAGGGCCAATCTGATACCTTAGCAGACTAAAGCACCTGCTTAGGTAGAGCTCAGTGGCTAGGGTTCGATCCCAAGCATGCCGTGCTGGCCCTGCCTGCAGGGTGCGCTGGGATGGCAATTGAGACTGGGTGTGGTGGCATGCACTTGTAATCCCAGCACTTGGGAGGTTGAAAACAGGAGAATCACTACGAGTCCGATCTACGTAGTGAGACCCTGTAGACCTTGTCCTAATTACACTAAATAGGATGGAGATGCTAACTGACTATGACTCACTACCCAGACTTGGTGATAATAAACTGCTCCAGAGTGTTTTCCACTGCTACCTGTTAGTTCTTAGGTTAGAACTCCAACACAGTGAGGTTGAGTTCTCTGCGCAGGTCTCAGGATGAAGACCAGGGTGTCAATCATACTACGTTCTCACTGGGAACCTTGGGGGCGATCCACTGCCAGTGGGCCCCACAGGACTCCTGCCTCCTGGGCCTTAATTGTGGCCATTTAAATGTTGGGATAACAACACAAGCTTCAGAGAAAGGATAGGTCAGTGATGGGGCACTCCCCCTGATCATCATACCTCCATATATTTTCTAACACTCTTGCAGAGGCTGGTTTCTCTGGCAGTTTCATGGATGGGTAGATGCCATTGTGAATGGGAAGGTTCAGCCTCTTTTCCCTGCAGAGATCCTCTCATTCAAGGTGTCATTTTGAAATCAGAGTTGCCAGACCTGCCAGCCCCTTGGGTTTCCTACCTATGTAAGTGGGAGCTAACAAATTCATGTATGATAAATTCCCCTGCTGCAGGTAAGCAGTTACAGCTAAGGTACAGGTGATACAGCTGCAAATATGTGTGGACCTGCTTAGTGTTTCTGGATGGGGGACAGTGAGGACAAAGGCCTGGGCCAGAACAAGCCAAGTGTGACCCCCAGTCTGGGCAGGTGAGGATGGTGGCAGACTTACTAGGGCCCTGGTGGTGAGGAGCCCAGTGGTCATTTCTTGGTTTACTGGCCGCTTGTAGGAACATCCTGCTCCAGTTGCAGGGGGGCGGAAAGGATGCTGTGAGGTTAGCCCAGCCTCTGCAATAACCAGAGACCCTGAACTTGGGGCCTCAGTGTGGAAGAAAGGAACTTAGCTGTGGGACCCTGAAACTCACACCCAGGACAAACCAGATGTCAGCTGAAACTTTGCACGGCACTTTCTGAGTGCATGCTATGTGCCTGGCACCATTTCAGGCACTGTTGATCTTAGATCTTAGATCTCCCCAACCATAGGCCAGGAAACTGAGGGCCTGGGTGGGTACATCCTCTTGCTGTGCAGGTGATTGTCCAGGGTGACTGTTACTGACAGGAAGCCAGATGGCTCTCAGGCTCCCAGATATCATTTTGTGACCCTTGCAACCTAGCTGGTCTTGGCAGCAATTATAGGAACAAAACAAACAAACAAGAAAAAAAAAAAAAAAAAAAAAAAAAAAAAGAAAAAAGAAAATGGAATCCTGCTGCAGTTAACATGTGTTGTGGCAACATGTGGAAGTCTTATGCTTTGGTGACCATCTGCTTACTGCCTCCCAACACAGGAGATGGCTGACTCCCTAGAGATCTTTCAGACCAGAGGGAGGAAGGTGGGCTTCCCCCCTCACTGGTTCTACATCCTGAATGGCACTAACACTTCTGCCTGATACTCCTACCTGGTCACCGTCTTCACTGCAGTTTCCACGACAGAATCTCTCTCTTTAATTATGTATTTTGGGTTTCTGATGTCTCTATGCCCAACCTCAGTGGGATAAGGGTGGCAGGGACAGAGGGGGCTCTTGGGCACAGGACATCAAATACATGTTCGTTGCTCTTGTGGAGGTACTTGACTTAGCACTCTGTAAGTTTAATGATAAGGTTGTTTTTTGAGTTTATGAAAGCTGGGGTTAAAATTTTGGAGTTTCGGCGTCCCTACACTCCTCTTGCACAAAGGTGCAGGCTTGAGACGACTCCATCACGGGGTCTCGGCCTGTACCATCTCAACCCTGGACGTCCCACCAACGCACGGATGCAGGCCAGGCGAGCTCCAGCCACTGAAGGGTCAGACCTGTACCCCAAGCCGGCGAACACCCTCTCCCCAGAGCTGGGCCATCACCTCGCCCTGGACCCGGGACCTAGAGCATGGGGCCCCGCCCCTCGGCCCGGCCCCCAGCGTTACATCCCACCCAACCTAAAAAAAGAAAAGGGGCCGGATGCACATTGCGCAGCTGGGCATCCAAGCCAACCGCAGAAGGGACCTCAGGAAGCACCTCGGTACCCGTATAGCTGTATTTCCTCCCCGGCCTACCTCGCCTTACTCACCCGCGAAACAAAGGCTGCCCCACCACGCGCCGGGACTGCGCTCGTGCGCTGCACTACATCTCCCAGAGGCTTGCGCGCAAACCTTCGTCGTCTCGCAAGCTCACGCCAGCACCTCCTGGGCCCGCCAACCGCGGCAGCAAGGCTTGGAATCTAGTTGAAGCCTCCGTGACCGGGCAAGATCAGTCTCTTCGGCGTTTCCTGCTAGATAGGAGGACATAGGCTGCAGCCCGCACCGGTCGTGACGGCGCAAGCGGAAACGGAACTACAACTCCCAGACGGCGGCGCGCGGGCTTCCGGTTTCCTTCCCACCGGCACAGGTCCGGGTCCAGAAGGCTGTGTGCCCCGAGTTCAGTTCCTGGCGCTGGTACTTAGGTCGCCGTTGTTGCGCTCGGTGTTGGCCTCCCTACTGTAGAACAAGGGACTGAACGGCGAGCTGATTAGACGGGGAGGAGGTTGGGAAGGACTGAGCTGGGCTCGGTTTGGAAGCGAAGGCAGTTAATGCCCTACCCTAGGCTGATCATCCATCTGCCGTGTGACCTCCAAAGTAACAACGGTAAAATAACCAGGCTCCCCGACACTCCGCCGGGAATGGGGCAGCAGGCACCTCGCGAGCCAGCGCAGAGCCCCTCGGGCTCTCGGCCCGCCTGCCCAACCCGATTCTTCTGCGGGAGCGCGGCAGCTGGCAACACGGCCGCAGGGAGTGCTGCAACCCAAAAATCAAAAACCGGACTCAAACTTAAAAGCAAGAAAGCGCTTTATTTAGCTGAGCTCAGCAGCGGCACAAGTAGGTGCGCGCTTAGTCTAGGTGAGGCACAACTTTTAAAGGGAAAAACCACAAAAGTAGAGGGAGGAGGGGGGATTTTGCAAAGCTTCTTTTGAGTCAGTTATGACTGAGGGTTAACTTTTTGTTCCCGTAGACGAGGTCACACTTTGTAAACCCTACAGGAATATGTTTTACTTGGCTTAGGCATTGTTTTTGTCTCGGTACTTAGAAGGACATCTGATGACCATTTTACCCATTTTCAGGCTTCTGTTTGTTCCCATAGGAAGGACAGTTTAACTCATTCTGCAGAATGTTGAGAAACACCTTCTTATTTGCAGAAACAGTCACATTCTTCAGGGAAGGCATGGGTGAGGGGGTTACAAAACAAATCAATGTTTTACAAAACGAAGACACAGGCTTGTTAGAAGATGGAGTTTAAGTTGTCAGCTTATACCAAATAGTCCTTGTTAATAAAGTTACAGTGGAAACATACAGAGTTACAAAACTGGAATCAAGTGCAAGGTTAGAACAGGTGGAAGGAGGCTAGGTGGACCGAGCGCGGGAACTGCCTGGCGCGGCGGAGGCCGGGAGGGCCGCGCTGCAGCCGACCCCAGCTCCCAGCAGCCCTGCGCACAGCTGCTGTCCGGAGAGCAGGGCACCCACCGCGAACGTAACTGCCAGAGACCCTGGCGGGCGGGCGGGTGCCGAGGTGGCACCGCTCCCAGCATTCCCGGAACTGCTCTGCACCCGCGGGAGTCGCGGAGGTGGCGGGGAGCGCCCTGCGTCCACAGCCCCAGCACCCTGGGCTTGCGCACCGCGTCCGCCTCCTGCTGCCGGCTGCCGCTCGCTGCTGGAGCTCCGCAGTCGGGAGCTGCGTGACACAGAGGCGCTAGAGCCAGAGGGGAGCCGCGGGGGCAGGAGGGACAGGCACTCGGTTTGCGGTGTACCCGGAGGAACAGCGGCAGGAAGATAGGCAAGAGCCGAGCTGGGTTCAGGTGGAGGACTGTTTGCCTGACTGTCAAAGGACCCCAGGAACAAAAGCAGCGTTTATTTATACGTTTGCAAAGTTGGTATCAGAAGACACAAAGTTGCCTAGTGGCTCATAGCCAAAATTACCCAGGCAGGATGTTTGGGCAAGACAGGCCTTGTCCCGCCCTCTGGCATGTGATCGGTTTCCAGCTTCAGCAGCCCAGCCTGGCTCCCTTTACTGTTTTGTTGGGTAAATGACGGGTGTTTCCGTGCACTTGGAGAAGCTCTTCGGAGAACTCGGTAGAAGGCCTTTTTATTTTTGATGCCAGTCCAAAGATTTTTGGTACCTACCTGTATGCAGCAAGTTAACCCTATGTGGGCCAGTAATCCATAACAGTAGTGTGTTTCCAGTGCAGTTGGCAGTTGTCAAAAGTTGATAGTAATTTGAACCTTTTCAGGTAGTATATTAGCATGTCATTTGCTCTTTTACATCTCGATACGTTTTTCTGCTGCATGGCTAAGACCAAGTTAAAGCAAGACCTTACAAGTAAAACAATAACTTTGCTATCTATCACAGTCGGTTAAGACTGGTCAGGATTCACCTTGGAACCAAGCATAGTATCTTTTAGATTTTCCATCAGGGTCAGGTGTCTGGATGGGTCTCAGCTGTTGCCAGAGCAAGTTGCTTTCTGTGAAAGCTTGAGAGGCTTTTTCTCTCCAGGTGGCTCCCTAGGCACACTGGATATACCTCACTGATCACTTTCCTCTGTGGTCCCATACGCTCCATGACCAGGGACTCAACAGAGTCTTAGGGAATCGCAGCAGAGGTTCTTTTATGTCCTGAGTCCTCGTTTGCCTTGGAGGGCTGGGGCCAAAATGTTGGCTATCCTCTAGTTCATCTATGTCCCTAATTTTTGGTCTCTAGACCTCAGTTGTTAAACAGCTAGAAGAGAGGCTTAATAGCATTACCCTTGTCCTCCCACATAAGATCCTCCCCTTCTAGCTTTAGCTACTCCCAGCAAGTAGGGTCATCGTCCCTGGGCCTCAGGTGGCCTTGCGTCTGGGGCAGAGCTGAGTGCTGTCACTAGCGCCCAGTCCTGCTCTCCTAGAGCTAAAAGCAATGCTAGAAGCGTTTCTGTCCTGTGTGTGTGAAGTGTAGATATAAGTGTCTAGGAAAGTGTCTCAGTATAGACACCCCAGACTCGGCCCTTGCAGTGTAGGACCTGTGCTGTGCAGGTGCGGACTCCCAGTGAGTGAGGCCCAGCAAGGTGTACTCTTCCTGTTCCGCTGCAGAGGAGCCTCCACCTACACGTGGGGAGTGTAAGAGCGACCCCCTCCTAGCCACTTGGGGTGTGGAAGTAGACTGTGTTACATGAGTGCTTTTCTGGGAGAGATTTCCCTTGTCATATCAGCGTCTACCAAAAGGTTAATTTATGGGTCAGATTTAGGTGATATGTTAAAATTTTCAATTTGATAAAGTCACAAATACTGTAAGGGAATGGAATCTATGCTGTCATCTGTGTAGCAGTATTAAACTCTTTGTAGTTGGTTTTATTTTTTTAAATGTATTTGGCTGTTGCAGGGTCTTACTATGCAGCTTGGACTTGTGATCCTCCTGCTTTCAGCCTCTCCAGTGCTGGGATTACAGGTGTGCACCACCACGCCCAGACTCTGGCTGGCTCAACCCGCCCTTGGGGTGGGGCTGGCCTGTGGTACCGAGGATCGAACCGTGGTCCCTACCCTTGCCTAAACTGGCCTGTGCTTGTGTAAGCAGGCACTTTAGTGTGCTGAGCTATTTTGCTGGGCCTGTTTTTATTTTTTTGAAATAGGATTTGGTTATATTGTTCAGGATGACTTTGAACTCAGCAAGTTTGACAGACTGTTGTCAAACTTAAGATTTGCCTCAGCCTTCTGTGTGCTGGAATTTTAGTAGTGTGCTACAGAGACCAGTTCATATAAATAATTTTTGATATTAGTATAGTTGTAACATGCAGAGAATAGGGTTGCAAATAAAAATACAGAACAATTCTCTTTTTTTTTTTTTTTTTGTATTTTAGGGAAGGGTCCACAGGGTGTCCAGGGTCTCACTACTAGATCAGACTTGTAGTGATCCACCTGTTTACGGCCTCCCAAGAGCAGGGGTTACAGGTGCATGCCACCATGCCCAGTCTCAGTTGCCATCTCAGTGCACCCCAGGGGCGGGGCTGGCATGGCAGGCCCAGGGATCCAACCTCTGGCCTCTGTGCATGCTTGCAAGTGCTTTAATCCATTGAGCTATTTGACTGGCCCAAAGTAGCTTGCTTTTTTTTTTTTTTTTTGTGGTACCGGGGATTGAACTCAGGACCCTATGCTTGCCAGTGAGGTGCTTATTCTACTGAGCTATTATCTCCCAGGCAGAAGAATTTTTTTTTTCTTTTTTTATTGGAACCAGGGATTGAACTCAGACCCTTGTGCTCACCAGGGAAGTGCTTATTCTACTGAGCCATCACCCTGGCCCTGGAACAATTCTTTTTTTCAAAATTTTATTGATAAACAGATAGCAATGAGACAGTTTCAAATCAAATCAGAAGTACAGTTTCAACAAATAATACACTGCATATATTCTTCTTAGTGGTTAATAGCTGTACAAGATGTGCACTTGAGATCCTATTTACAAACACCATTAGAACAAGTCATTCTATTCATTAAGAGAATGCAACTATATATCTATCCTAACCACTTTGAATACACAGATACAAAATGGACATTCATCGGTATACTCCATTTGT